CGAATCATCGGGTGCTTTCGAGATTGTTGCTTGTATGGTACGATTACACTTTGAGTAGTATAGGGGATTGAGAGTGTTCGGCTTTGGGCAGGTATTGGAGTTAATGCGTGGGTATAGGTAGAGTATGTAGGTAATTTAAATGTAGTTGAAGTTTGGAGATTTATCTATTGGAGATCTTGCGAGGATCAATTTTCAGGGTGAAATAGTGGAATTAAGGTTTGTTCTTGTTTGACGGTCATCTGCTTGGTTAAGAGGTTGTTATGGTTCGTTGATGGTAGAAATAGTTTCGTTATCGCGAGCAATATCGTTACTCGTCATCTGAGAGTCATCGAGAATATTCAGAGGAGCACTGCAACAGATCCCATCGCAGCGAAGGCTCCGAGTCGGTCTTGCGATCAATTTTCCTCGAAACAGCGGAGTCGATCTTTAGAATCTGTTAAGAACACGATTCATCCTGCTTTCCGAGGATAGGAGCATAAGCTTGAAATCCTCGATATGAATTTACGCGGAACGAAGTTTTTCTGAATAGGGAAAGTACGGAGCCCTGGGGGGAGGAGCGTTTTTCCAGAGCGATCCCTCTAAATCATGTCACTCGGTATCGCAAGACAATGATTTTAAAGAGATCCCAGATATCGGTGCAGTGAATGGGGAAATACGGGAAAACAAAAGGAGGATGTGGCCACACGACATCGTGCACGCACCGTGCAGCAACGATCTCAGCAATTGGAAAACGAGAAAATGGAGAATAATGATCAGATACCGAGAACAGAAAAGCAGAGCCCCGTACCATAACGAGTCTCGTTGTTTCAACGGGGATCGAATAACAAATCCGTGCGCCGGACATTCTGCGCTCACGGTTTCGAAATACAATCGAAACGGAAATATATCAATTCGATACCGCCGCAAAACGAACGAAAAATCGGAGCTGTCGATATTCCGCGTTATCCTAATTAACGAGCCGCTGCCCGATCGCACGGAAAAGATCCCAGTAAAATCTGAATAATTTCGAACATTCCCAACACTTAATTCCTGCATGATACATTTCATTCCCAGAAATTTCAATGAAATTCAAAGCTCACGAGTGGAAGGGAAGAAAATAAAGGTAGAAGCTATTATCAATTGATTCCCCAGGAATTATCCCGTATAAAAGGGTTAACTGCTCTAATCCCATCAAATTAATAAGAGAGAATTCCATCGTCCCGAGGTCCCATTCAGGTGTCCACGATAGTTACCGTGTAGCCTTGTCAACGCCTCTTCACGGGGACAAACGAAATAACCTGAGCGTCCTGAAAGTAGCTCAGTCATCCGTCACTGGTGCAAACTCTAGTGAATCCAGACTCGAGACAGAAGCCGTCAAATTCGAAGGGATTCAGTCTGGGACCCCCGTAAAACCTAAACCTAATCTAATGCATTAGCCACGCCGAGACTCGGAACTGTCGAGGGTCTCTTGACTCGGGACACATTGTTATTGGTTCCTGATCCTATTGTCGGACCCAAACCTAGCTACGCATCGGGCACACAATGGCTGCGGTAGCCTGGTTTGCTGCCAGCGGGACAGGACTGCGTATTTTCACCTAATCGGATCCGTTGGACCATGTTGGGTAATCGACTGGCCTCATTTCGAATCCGGACTACTGCGGATCCACCTTTGACCAGCATAGAGACGCTCCGGAAGGTGTCCACCAGGGGGACTCTTTTGTTATTCCTTTGTCAGGGCCGTGTCTAACTGTACTGCTAATTTAGTGCCGGTGGGATTACCAACGGTAGGTTCCGGGACTTAATTTTCGTTCATGGAAAGCTATTGCAAAACCGTGAAATATCTTTGTTATTACTTGAGTATGCGGTTAACCTATTTAACAGTTTAACTCGGAAGAATCGTTAGGTTTCTACCTACACAATCCGTCGCTAATCACTTTCACACTTACGAGTTTCCTTCAAACACTCACCCTGTCACAGTTATCCTCGTCAACACGTCAACCTACCGAAACCGAAAAAAACAACACCCAAAGAAATTCAATCCTCGTATCAATCTTCCAAATCCCCTAAACTCCAAACACCAGCCATAGACGCTCCCGCCGAGCATCCCGCAAACGTTCCCACTTCATTAACTCATCACAGCTCCATCCTCTAATCGCATCGCAGGTCTGAACACCTCGGCGAGGCATTCAGGGTCCACAAAGGGGAAGCAAGTATCGGGGGACAGGGAGAATTCATAAAGAAATCCGATGGAAACAGAGCGAGAGATGGTGAGGGCAAGGAGAGGTCTAAGGGAGGTCGACGATGTTTCGCCGATTCCTGGGCAGGTCAAGGGGGCACCGGTGGTGTCTCGGTCTCCGAGAGTCCCAACCCCGATGGATGAATGAACGGAGGCGCGCAAGCGAGCCGCACGACCGGGAATAACCTCATTCACGTTTCCATCCGTCCTTCCTCGCACATCCGTGTTCCAGGGCTGGAACGGCGGGGGGACGCCCGCAGAGTTTTACAAGATGCGCCATATGCGATACATTATTATACAATGTGAGCGCCTAGCATTCTAAGCGCAGCGGAGGGCTGCGGAGTCCCGTACTCGTCGCTCCTAAACAGAACCCAGTCGCCACAAAGAGTCGGAAATCTTTTATATACGCGATTACTCGCCGCGGGGACCACTTGCCGCGCGTTCGCACACTCGGCACCCGTGGAGCACGTGGATTCCCTTTCTTTCTTTCGTTCGCTGGCTCGTTCCGTCCGCTCGTTTCCTTTTCGTGCTTCTTTTCGATCCCCGGTTCTCGTTCGTCGGCCTTCTTTCTTCCTTTCTTTCTTTCGTTCTTTCTTCCTTTCTTTCCTTTCTTCGTTCGCGGCCTCTCCTCCCGTTCTTTCCCCCCGGTCGCAGCTACCTCTCCCCCCGGGGGAACGCCAAGATATGCCCGCGAGGACACGAGCCCCGCAGAGACCGCGATTTCTCACGTGCCGCCTCGGGAACCAGGCTCGCGCTGCGTGCGGTTCACGCGTCTTCATTCGGCGACCGTTGCGCAGCCGTTCCGACGCGTAACTTCCACCGCGAATGGTACTGAA